TTCTCTCAGTATACCAACAACTACTAAACCAACCCTCATGTATTCTGTAAGAAAATGATGATTTTGAATAATCCAAGGATTTCTCATCACAAAGAACTTTAAAAGGTAGAAAAAATGAGTTTTAAAGGAATTATAAATTAAATTGTGATTACTTCTGCTGTTCTGGTACATGTACCTATTTGTACAGCTAGATAGACTGGAGATAATATGATTGGATGGCGTTATTCGAGAACTTTCTAATATTGTCCCACAAAGTGCTGTTTCTTATTTGACCCTTGCTGATGTTACCATGAAGTCCATCCATTGATCTTGTGCTGCAATATATGAAGAGTTATAGCCCTTTGTTTACTGCTCATCTTATTTTGTTACACACCATCACCTATCATCCACACTATTTTGTAAGTGAGAACTCCTTTGGATGATGCAGTGTTCTGTATTGTAATTTAAAGTCTCTGAAAAAAACATTTACAGAGTTATTGCCCTTCTGGGGTTTTTTTTGAGGTGGACACAATGGATTGTTGATCTTGACTTCTCCTTGTGGTGGTAAACTGTATCAATAACAATAGATGTTGATCAAGGATATCACATGTAATAGTAGGAAGAGTAAAGACTAAATTCATTCAGTCATCAGAATTTGTGATGAATGAGTTGAATCTTCTTGTCCATTCAAGTTTATTGAGCCAGGATTTTTCCAATTTTACCAAAGATGTATATTGTAAACAGGCTGATTATACTATGGAGCCCTAGGTGAAACATATTCAGTTGATATTTATTAATTCATTTCAGAGATATAACAACATGTAATGATATCCAAGTGGTGTTTGAACTAAGGTACCAGAGCAGTCATGGTATCCATATAAAATTCTGATTTCTGATAAATTGTGTAATTTTTGTCAAGGGATACTCCATACATATCAGATTATTTACATTAAATGCATGGCATTGACGGTCCAACACAGCATTGAGTCATAGCTTGTGATTTGGTCGGGTTTTCTCCAACAGGCTAGTATTGAATCTGTGTACAATAGCATCTCTAGGGACCTCATGATTTCCAAATGAGATTTCAACTCCGCGACTGGTAATTCTGCGTTAGGATTTAAATTTCCAAGGCTGTTGCATTGAAAACCTGTACTTTTATTTGATAGATCTCCTAATCATGAAACAGTAATGAAGTTTAAGACATGAAAGCTTTAGGCAGAACGCAGGCCTTTTCTGGTGTGTTGTGGAATCGACATTTCCTTAATTATCTTTGGAGAATTGGTCGTACCAGGTATAAAGTGTCTAGCTCAACTTTTCAGTTTTTTGTCTTTTGTGTCAAGGAATTTAGGATTTTCCATTTTGTTGTATTCATGTATAAATGCATATATAAAAATTTTTGTTCTGCTTAGAATCAAACAAAAACAAAACCTTATTTATCCTACAGGGAGCCAACGTAGAAATTCTGGCTCACAGTCACGGAATAGGCTTATTGCAAAGGATGATGAACAAATATTAGTCTGTTATTTTACTGTAAAACAATAGATGTGGATGGTCCTATCAAGTTTATTGTCTGATAAAGTCAGTAGTTTTTGCTTCAAACTAATGAAAATACAGTACCATTATGCTAGCTGTCATTTGTGTCAGCTTTTTTATTAATTAGAATAAGAAGGAATAAGAAAAAAAACCAGATAGAATACTCCTTGATGTAATCTTATTCATGTTTTCTATCAAACTTAGAAAAATGGCACAACAATTTCTTTAAAATCCTTCATGAACCCAATTGCTGTTGGATAACAAAGGTATGTACTTTAAAAAAAGGCTCTATGTAGCCATAAGTTGTATGTTTTGCTCACAATATTTAGTCTCCTAAAATTTCGATGAGATTATAATCAATATGTAGTTAAATGTTGACTTGTTTTATTATTCTTGTTGTTCCAGTTGCCTTACACTTTTGCCAAATGTACAAACTGTAATGTTATAAGTAAGAACTCCAGTTGTGAAATAAAACTATGTTATTTTACATCAAATAGCAAACTAATTTACATTTATTTCATACATTCCAACACAAGGATTAGAAATAAAGGAATGCTGGATTATAGGGCAGAAGTTTAAGTCATTGGCTAACTATATTTCATACAAACATGAATTATAATACGTAAGTAAGGCTTCTTAACAAATTAAAACGACACATTTTAATAGGGCAGTGTTGAAGTGTTGAGTTACGTACTGTAATATGTTTCAGATGGCTCTCGATCAACAAAATGCTAAAACATTATACCTGATAATTGAAGTGCATGTTTGAAACAAGCTTCAGAGATAAGCAATGTGTTAAAAAGTAGATGTCTCTTATGGCACTGCCTGTAAGACTTGTGTCTTGGAGTGTGTGTGTAGGTTTGTGTCTTGGAGTGTGTGTGCCTGTAAGGTTTGTGTCTTGGAGTGTGTGTGTAGGTTTGTGTCTTGGAGTGTGTGTGTGTGTAGGTTTGTGTCTTGGAGTGTGTGTGCCTGTAAGGTTTGTGTCTTGAAGTGTGTGTGTAGGTTTGTGTCTTGGAGTGAGTGTGCCTGTAAGGTTTGTGTCTTGAAGTGTGTGTGTAGGTTTGTGTCTTGGAGTGTGTGTGTAGGTTTGTGTCTTGGAGTGTGTGTGTGTAGGTTTGTGACTTGGAGTGTGTGTGCCTGTATCGTTTGTGTCTTGGAGTGTGTGTGTAGGTTTGTGTCTTGGGGTGTGTGTGCCTGTATCATTTGTGTCTTGGAGTGTGTGTGTAGGTTTGTGTCTTTGAGTGTGTGTGTAGGTTTGTGTCTTTGAGTGTGTGTGCCTGTAAGGTTTGTGTCTCTGAGTGTGTGTGCCTGTAAGGTTTGTGTCTTTGAGTGTGTGTGCCTGTAAGGTTTGTGTCTTTGAGTATGTGTGCCTGTAAGGTTTGTGTCTTGGTGTGTGTGTGCCTGTAAGGTTTGTGTCTTGGAGTGTGTGTGTGTAGGTTTGTGTCTTGGAGTGTGTGTGCCTGTTAGGTTTGTGTCTTGGAGTGTGTGTGTGTAGGGTTTGTGTCTTGGAGTGTGTGTGTAGGTTTGTGTCTTGGTGTGTGTGTGCCTGTAAGTTTTGTGTCTTGGAGTGTGTGTGCTTGTAAGGTTTATGTCTTTGAGTGTGTGTGTAGATTTGTGTCTTGGTGTGTGTGTGCCTGTAAGTTTTGTGTCTTAGAGTGTGTGTGCCTGTAAGGTTTGTGTCTTGGTTTGTGTAACAGGTTAATTAATTATTCTATACCTCAGTGAGTGTGAAAAATCCAATCCTGGATCTCTAGTTCACTATGATTTTTTATGCAGGTAAATGGCTTCATCAGCACTTTAAATGTAAAAGGATAAAATGAGATGGACCTGGAAATATTTATACCAGTCTCCAACAGATAAGTCAAAATCAACAGAAATCCAACTAAGATCAGTGATCCTGTCCTTGTTACATGACAAAATAGTCCTACTGGTCAAACCAATAAATAAACACTGCCTTAGCTAAGTGAAGGAGATGTCAGTTTTACAAATGGTTTAAGTTAAACAAATGTTTGATGTTATTGTGTTCAGTGCATGTTTAGAGTGACACTTAAGTGTAGTAGTGTTGTTTCTTGATATTAACTCCATGTAAATATTTTAGCTGGAGCTGATCAAATAAGCTTTGCATGGCAAAGTGCATGCTTCAAGTTGCTGTGGTTCCATTGTCTTGTGGTTTTGTAGTTTTGGAGTGCCTGTTTAAATTGACACTAGTTTGGTAGCATGTAGAAGTGTTTTAGATGGAGCTGGTTGGATGATGGTGTTGTTGATATTTACATTTCTGGCGACAGAGGATGGTGTTATTTGAGAATATTGTTGTGTCATGCTTCATGCTTCAAGCAACACTGGTAGAATATTGTTGTACAGTATATAGCCAATAGTGAGGAATATCCTGGCACTGTCTTTTTGTGCTGCTGCTGCTCTGCTGCTGAATCAATTGTCTGGCCCAGCCAGTTGTCTCTGTGGCCCGTTAGTTTGGTAGGAAGCCAGATCTACCCACAGATTGTTAGATCAACCTTACATCAGATAGAGAAGAGTCCATTGAAAGCTGGTTGAGGGGAGAAAGGATAGCTGCCATACCTGTATGGAATTAATTGGGATAGTTTATTGCAGTTTGATTAGACAAAGCTTGCTTATCATCTACCCAGGTTGTAATAGTAAATCTGATAGTGCTGGTCTTAGCAGGTTAAATACTGTTTTCCAACTTAACATATTTATTGGTCTGAAAGGGTGGGTTATAGCTGATCAAATATTGATGTTTGTCGTATAGCAATTAATAGGACATCATTGATGTGAGAGGCCATCGCTGTATAACTGACTGGTAATGCATTATGTGTCATCATTACTCATCGTTATATGACAGTCTAGTTAACAGAATAATGATAATCTCTTCAATATATAATGAGATTTACCGGTAATCTCTTGTGAATTAAATATTGGTTCAAATTTTTAAAACAGATGCTGAATGTTACTGGTTGGGGGAAAAGAACCTGTATTCAGTGTCAATTTCTTATGGTTACAAATTGTTTTAATTTAAATAAGGATTATGTTTAATTCTATATTTGCTTAAAAAATTATCTGAGTGATTGATAAAATCTGTCCCATAAAATTTGATCTTGGAAGTTTAAATAAAAATTCATCCATCTTTCTAGTTTCCTCTCACATCACTACACTATATTTATCCAGCAATAAACTGCGTTTGATAATAAGACCGCCCATTAATAATCCCACCCATATCTATAGCCGTATCTGTAAAAATTCACACAAATGTTGCACCATTGTAAACAATTAGCCTACCTCCGTACTATCAGACTTATTTCAGGAATAATTAGGGGGATACACTCTCTGAAAAATCAGAGAAAACTATAACAAGTCTTGGCTATTGAAAACCAAAACTGCCAAGGAATATGGTTCTACTGGTCAGACAAAGCGACATCATCATGCATCATGCCATTATCTTTTCTGAAATTTGACCATCTATTCTGTTGTTACAGTGACTACCAAGCGATGGTTAGATGATGGGTTAACTTGGATGTAGGCAGCCTGGACATCCGGCCAAGGAGGTCACCATGACAACTGAGGACCTTCTACAGGCCAACCAGGTGGTCAAAGACCGATGGAAAGTGGTAAGTTATAGATATTATAGAGTGGGGATGATGGAAAGTGGTAAGTTATAAATATTAAGGGGTGTGGCTGATGGAAAGTGGTAAGTTATAAATATTAAGGGGTGTGGCTGATGGAAAGTGGTAAGTTATAGATATTAAGGGGTGTGGCTGATGGAAAGTGGTAAGTTATAGATATTAAGGGGTGTGGCTGATGGAAAGTAGTAAGTTATAGATATTAAGGGGTGTGGCTGGTGGAAAGTGGTAAGTTATAGATATTAAGGGGTGTGGCTGATGGAAAGTGGTAAGTTATGAATAATAAGGAGTGGGGCTGATGGAAAGTGGTAAGTTATAGATATTAAAGAGTGGGGCTGATGGAAAGTGGTAAGTTATAGATATTAAAGAGTGGGGCTGATGGAAAGTGGTAAGTTATAGATATTAAAGAATGGGGCTGATGGAAAGTGGTAAGTTATAAAAAAAAGTGTTGATTGAGACCAAAGGAAAATTGTAGCTAATAAAAATGTTGATTGAAACTGTTTTAGTCAGAAATGTAATTAATCATTAAGTTTGCTATTATTTTTTTGTTGATGATCTGATATTTGATATTAGTTTAAGTCCTTATAAGGTTTATTTTATATATACAAAGGTAAGAAAGATCGGGGGCGGAGGCTTTGGTGAAATCTACGACGGTATTGACCAGGTGACAAAGGAGAATGTTGCTCTCAAACTGGAATCTGCAAAACAGGCCAAGCAAGTGCTTAAGATGGAAGTGGCTGTCCTCAAAAAACTGCAGGGTTAGTAATACTTCATAGAATCAGTAGTAGTTGAGTGGGAACTCCTCTGGGTCATTTTCTATATGTCACATTTAAATCAATTCAAAATGTCTGCATTTCAACAAAGTCAGGGTCTTAGGGGGAATGATTGCTGGAAAACATGTTAGCGGTATAGGTTTGTATTGTTTTTCTTTCTATTTTTTTAATGTATGAATCGCTGGCTAAGAAATACCATTAACTGTAGAAATGGTAGTGTAACTACTGTTTCACCTGTGACTGGTTGGGAGGTGACATAAGGCCTTTTGCAGAACATTTCGCTGTGGCAGCTCTATAAAGTAGGCTGCAGTGCCTCACTATCAAAAGGAGGCTTAGCTACATGAACATATCACAGTTTCCTTGCAAACTTAGGTGAAATTGTTTAACTTTGCATTCACAATGTGAGGAATATTTTTGTTTTTTAGAAAGCATATTCTCAGAAATTTCAGTAAAAATTTCAAACAATGATACTGAATTGATATATTGAATTCCTATCAGAATCCAGCACATTATTATTTTGCTATGATTCCTCCAATATTCTGATTCCATTGTGTTGTAGGACATGACCATGTGTGCCGGTTTATCGGCTGTGGTCGAAATGAACGGTACAACTATGTGGTGATGACTCTTCAAGGCAAGAATCTGGCAGAGTTACGGCGTAGCCAGTCTCGAGGATGCTTCACGCTCAGCACTACACTCCGCCTCGGCGCCCAAATACTCAAAGCCATTGAGGCAATACATGAGGTTGGGTTCCTCCACAGGGACATAAAACCGGTGAGTACCTTCTGTCTCTCTCTTTCACTCCCAGTATGTCTCCCAGTATTTCTCTCCATCTAAAGCTCTCCATCTGCCTCTCTCTCACTCTATCTGTTGCCACCCTGCTCTCTTTCCATCTCTCGTTCTCTTTTTTTTTCTGCTCAAGATAGAAGGAACCTGGTTCTGCTGCGACGGAAAACAAATGAGCAAAGATAATGATAACAATATGTTCTGACCATGAGATGTGCTGAAGAAACCAAATTCTCACAGAAGGACTATCTGGCTGGCTATAACATACTTTATAGGTTTTAAATGTTTAAATGAAGGTGTCACTGCTTATACATGTCAAGTCATGCTTTAGATTCATACTGTTTGTTTATATCAATGTGTGTTAATTTTGGTATATCATTATGTAAGTACACTGTGTGTGTTCTAGTCTAATTTTGCAATGGGGAGACTACAGAAAGACAGTAAGAAAGTGTTTATGTTGGACTTTGGCCTGGCACGTCAGTACACCACCCCTGCTGGAGAAGTACGTCCACCGAGGGCAGCGGCTGGCTTCAGGGGCACAGTTCGATATGCATCAGTCAATGCTCACAAAAACAAGGTATGTTGATGTGATTTGTTTAAAAAGTAATAAATTACAAAAATCATACCGATATATTTAAAGAGATACAGAATTCATTTCATATAAGGTCAGTATTTTTATCTTATTTTGCGATTCGTACTACAACATTTCATGTTTAGAAAATACTGAAACCAGTTACCTGGTATGTTACATAGTATCATTTTGTGGACAATAATGATGAAATTTTGTATATTTCCTGCAATACACATTAACTTTTCTTTTGTCCTCAGGAAATGGGTAGCCATGATGACCTATGGTCCCAATACACATTAACTTTTCTTTTGTCCTCAGGAAATGGGTCGCCATGATGACCTATGGTCCCTGTTCTACATGCTTGTTGAGTTCCTGGCAGGCCAGTTGCCATGGCGAAAGATTAAGGATAAGGAGCAGGTGGGAAACATGAAAGAAAAATACGACCACACACAGCTGCTGAAAAACATGCCAAATGAATTCCGTTCCTTTCTGGAGCACATCCTTAGCTTGGACTATTTCGACAAACCAGACTACAGTCTTTTGCACAATTTGTTCCAGCAGTGTATAAAGCGCAAAGGTATCAAAGAAGTTGATCCGTACGACTGGGAGAAAATCTATGCTGATGGGTCCGTAGCCACAACCATCACCACTTCACCTCCTATTGGAATCAAAGCCACCCCTGGAGCAGGGTACAGGATTTTTTTTTTACCATTGTAATCAGTTTTGAAGGCTTTCTTTTATAATGTTTTCTATTTTTCGGCAAAATTGTTTTACGTTAATGAAGAAAAATAATCTATAGGATCAAGTTTACTGTTATTAAGTCATTTAGTGGCTTGTTAGTACTTAAAATATCAGAATTTGAAAGTGTCCGTTTCAGAAGGTAAAATATTTCAACAAATCTTGATCCTGTGTGAAAATTTCATTATGTTGTGTCATAATTTCAGATCTCCAGCTTTGATAAACATAACTTTTTATACTGATTTATTGAAATTTTATAATCAGGGGCTACTTGAGGCAACGTCCAGTTTCTCTTCACTTTATTTGAGAGCTGTCTGCAAAATCATGAAATTGGGAAATTGAGATATTCATGTCTTAGATATTTTCAAAACCTTTAAAAGACAAATTTCCTGAAAGTACATAAAAAATCAGTTGAAAAAATTGTTTGTTTCATAATTTCTGCAAAAGATGCATCCTTTTTTTCAAAATTGTGGTGTAAAGACTTTAACAAGAACTTTTGAGTAGATGGTTGTTTTTTAATATATGAGTTATATTGCTGTTTCAGAGTATTACCAGGTGGTCCTCACACAGCAGGGCACGGAGCTACAGAAGCTGTGGATGTCAACCTTAGTTACAACCAAGAGGAGGGTGAACAGGAAGAACGCAAGCTCAAGGAAAACCAGTACATCTTAGAGAACAAGAATCTACACGACATAGACAATCGACTGCGTGAGGAGGTGGGCGATATTGTGTTGGTGCCTCGCAACCAGAATGTGAATCATGTAGAAGCAGAGGAGAAACACCAGATGGAGCAACTGGTCCAGGAGGATAATGTGGCCCCACAGGTCTATCCCATCAACACAGACGAACAGGGAAATGCTGGTGACGCTCAGACGCCAGATCAACCTGACGCACCAAAAACGTCAGGTCTTGATGTGCTAGCAGACCAGTTGACTCGCATCCTCAAACAAGATGGGGAAAAGATGGAGGGACGGAGTGTGCCAAGAGAACAGCCTCATGACCAGACTGGCCCTGGAATTCGATTTTCTGAGGAAATCCTGCCTGACGTGCGTGAACGAGAGCAGCACACTGGTAGCGAAAGACGACAAAGTAAAGGACGTTACCATGAAAACCAACTGTTTAAGGAGATCATAGACCGCAAAGTGCATTCTGCTGTTGTTTCCAACAGGAGGAATAGTGTTGTTGGTGACGAGGACATTTCTAATAATCCTGACTTCCAACACGATCCACTGGCCAGTAAAGCTGCTATCACTTTTGCTCTCATGCAGACAGAAGAAAAAACACACACAGCAGCTGATGAGAATATTGATGAGAATGCCACCAGGGCAGCTCCATTTACTGTAGCGAGTCAGTGGGGTGCGGTATCCGCATTCGGGTCAGATTCTAACAATAGTGATGCTGACGATGAGAGTGAAGGAGATGAAGGTAATGACTTAAAATTGAAACCGTCGCATAAATCAAGGCGGGCATTAATGAACACATTAGCTGATGAAGATGATCTTCGATTGGACAGCATTGTTAGGAATTCACTTGTGTTACATGACGCTGACAGGGAGTCGCAGGAAATTCTCCGTAATTCGCTTGTGTTTCTTGATGATGATGTAGACCATGGTCAAAATAGAGAAAAAAGTGACTCAGGTTTTCATTTTAAAAATTTATCGGATAGAAAACATTCCAGTACTAGCTTACAATTTCTGAATGTTCATGGATCAGAAAGGACTTCTGATAGCCCGTTAGAAAAGTCGCAGTCAGTAGACAGTATACATAGTAAATTATCTAGTCCAAGTAGAATGCCTGAAAAACTAGCCAAGGAGATAGGCAATCTAATATCATCGCCATTGAGTAGTCCTTCAAAACATTTATTTAAAGGAAAAGACAGTCTAACTGATATTAAAAGGCTTGCTTCCCTAAGTCACCTAAAACCGGTGGGGAAGCCACCTGCCCCTCATTATATCTCGGCTCGTAACCAAAATACTGATAAAAGTGCTACAACAGATTCGAACAAAAAGCCAATGTTATACCCTAGTTCCGTTAAAACATTAAATGAATCGTCTAAACACTCAGATAATAAAACAGTTAAAAGTGACGATGTGAAAGTAAAAAAGATAAAAGTAGTAGATAAACATGACAAAGGTGGCGTACCAGAGAGGCGCGACGTTGTAACTCCAGAACGGCGTGCCTCAGACGGTGGGCGCACAGGCAAAAGTATGAAAATGTCTACCATTCCTGAGGATCAAAACAGCGAAAATAAATCTGGAGGACCGAAGTCCAGTAAAAGTGCTGACCAAATCCACACTACCAAATCCACTGCCAGTGATAACAGTACGCTATGCAAGGACGACAAAGTGCCAAGCCAACAAGAAAATAAGACCAGTAGGAAGGACACCACTTCACAGAAAACCAGTTCACACAAAAAAGATTCTAGTTCACAGAAAAAGGAATCAAGTCTCCTTAAAAAAGATGCCATTTCCAAACGTCAGCAGAAGCGACGGTCTTCCTCAGCTTCACGTGTTTCGGATCGAACTGCTATGGAGCTTCGAGAAGCTCTGTCATCACTGACCCCTGACCCCAATGAGAATCCAGAGTCAGACAGCTCCCGTGTTCCTAAACCACCACCAGGACAACCTCCCAAAAATGCAGTCACGTATGCAAGGTAAGAGGCGTATAGGGCCTGTATTGCTTATGACCCACGTTGTCTTGCATGGACGTTGTGTTTTAGTCTACCATTTCATCAATCTGATGACATCTATCAAACCTAATTCTGCCAGCTATTAGAATGAATGAAATAAAACCTAATTATAAGGAGCAATTTAAAACCATATCTTTACAAAATTTCAGTCTTTATTTTGTTCTCTACTGTGAAACCTGTTTTTATTACACCTGCCTCCATGACATATGTATCTCCATGACACCTGTCTTTGTGACACTTGTCTCCAAGGCACCTCTTTCTAACATCTTTTTCAACAAGAGGACATGTCTTTGTAACACTTGTTTCCTAGACATGTATTTGTGACAATGGTTTCCATGACATGTCTTTGTGACACTTGTTTCCTTGACATGTCTTTGTGACACATCTCATAAACATTTTTTCGTAACACTTATATCCTTGACATGTCTTTGTAACAATGGTTTCCATGACATGTCTTTGTGACACTTGTTTCCTTGACATGTCTTTGTAACAATGGTTTCCATGACATGTCTTTGTGACACTTGTTTCCTTGACATGTCTTTGTGACACTTGTTTCCTAGACATGTCTCTGTGACAATGGTTTCCATGACATGTCTTTGTGACACTTGTTTCCTTGACATGTCTTTGTAACAATGGTTTCCATGACATGTCTTTGTGACACTTGTTTCCTTAACATGTCTTTGTAACAATGGTTTCATTGACATGTCTTTGTAATACTTGTTTCCTAGACATGTCTTTGTGACAATGGTTTCCATGACATGTCTTTGTGACACATATCTCCTCAATATGTCTTTTTAACACTTGTCCTCCTGACACCTTCTCTTGATACATCTGTCTGTGATACTGTCTTTGTGACACAGATCTCTATGACACCTGTCTTTGAGACTTATGCTTTCAGGGCTGCTACCTAGGCTACATGCCACATTTTAATTCATTTGAGTAGTGGCATGGTTCAGAATGTACACAGTATAAAAATTATGAAAGTTACTGTATTATAAGATTTGTGCGTTTCCTGATCCAAATTCCATTCAATCAATTTTTTGATTTTCAAACTCTAGGTTCTTGGTATTACAGGTGAGTCCTTGAAGGATGAAACAGCTGTATGCTGTAGGTTAATTCATTATCTGGCTTGCTTTATCCTATTTCTAATTTGGATTGAAAGGTGCAGTTCACAGGTGCAGTTCACTGATTTGTGTTTAGTACAATCATTGATATCTGACCAGTTTGTCTTTAATTTACGGTAGATATTTTCTCTTCTCAACATTTCAGCATTTAACAGTTTTGTCACTACGTGTTGTATTGATTGTAAGCAGACAAGTGCTGGCGATGGAAGTATAGAGATCTGATTTACAGATATATCACAGCCTCAATTAAAATCTAATCCTTGCCAGATCACTATTGATCATCCAGACAGCCTAGAGGAATACAATACATTCAAACTTCATGTTGACTTTATCACTCCCCTACCAATGCTTATTGCACTAGGTGACTATAGATTTGCAGTGTGCCTTTCAGACTATGTCTTCTGTGCATTACTTTATCTGGGGCATATTCTGCCACTCTGAGTCATTCTGTGCATTACTTTATCTAGGGCATATTCTGCCACTCTAATGAGTCTTTCTGTGCATTACTTTATCTGGGGCATATTCTGCCACTCTGAGTCATTCTGTGCATTACTTTATCTGGGGCATATTCTGCCACTCTAATGAGTCATTCTGTACATTTCTTTATTTGGGGCATATTTTTTCTGTCTCCAAGTCTGTGTCATTCTGTATAATTTTTTTATGCGGGACATATTTCATTTGTCTCCCAGCCTGTGTGTCATTTAAATCATTTCTGGGGCCTACACTTTTATTCTAGCCTGCACACTTTTTAGTTTGACACATGAGTTCCTCATAGGTTGGTGGAAAACTATTTACCAAATCATTTTACATACCAGTTTGAAGAGTTACAGCCCTTTGTTCGTAAAGGCATATCCTCATGCTGCTGAAATGAAATTGGATAAGGTACCATACTAAAGAAGAACTCTAGTTGTTTTGGTTATTTTTATGTTGTGACCCCTGTAATATCTTGTGATGACCTGTAGTGTGATTGAATTCACAACTCTAATCCCTACTGATTTCTGTAGGGATTTTATCATACGTCATATTAAGGTTCAGAATGAAAATTCATGGGTCAGGCATCTGAGTTCAAAACCACTAACTATATAGTGAAATTTGTTTTTTAAAAAAATTGATTTCCAGGAGCATGTGCCCATTCTTGTTAAAAGGAGTCAGGAGGCTGGGAGAAGGTGGGGGCAGCTGTAGATCAATAACATCTTTAGGAATTGCATTGATCAATATCTTTTTATAATGACTTGTGAACTTAATCCTCTAATTTTACTTTTATTAGCTAGATGTATCACAGATGATAGGTTTCCAGTCTTATAAGCAATTAACTTCTTTTGTCTTCACCAGAGGGTACACCAACTTTTGGTATCATGATTTTCCTTGTTTTTCCTTCCATCGTGTCTCTCTTGTGATGACTTTTAACCTCTGATAAACAAATTTTTACCCTAGAGACACATCTAATGACAGGAGGTTGCAGTCAGTATTGCCTTCACACAGATGAACAGTTTAGCATGTTACATTTATATATTATTGATACTGTCAGAACACATCATGCTCTGGCTGAATGTCAGATCTTTGAGGCTAGAGATTCTCAATACCAGTTTTTGATAAGACTACAAACCTGAATTTTCAATTATTTGTTCTATCATGAAAAAGGAAAAGATGTCTTCACTGAAATTATTATTTAATCAGATACAATGTGATTGATAAAATCTTTTATCTATAACTGAGTGATTTGTGAATACATCTCGGTCAAGAGCAAGATTCTGATACAAAACTGAAACTGAGGTTCAAGCCTAAGCTGAGATCTTAAGAATCTTTGTCTGTGTCCTTACTGGTGGATAAACGCAGGTTTCACAATACGCTTTAAATTTATGGAAACAAAGTACATTCCAAAAATATTGAAAATGATTGATATGTATATATATTTCCTTTGTTTTATGTAGTTCATGTGTTGGACATGTACTTCATATTTAGATTTGTTATTTATATACATATGTATGTATGTAAAATTAACAGACAAAATTCATCCTTGACAGCCAGGGTATTAAGACTAGTAGATAGCCAATTTCATCTCTTAGTTTTGTGATTTGTATACTGTTTTAGTGTAATTTTATATGCTTTGTTTTTGTTCTTGTATTTTGCCTACTGGCATATTACACATGCACTCATAAATTTTTCAAGCCAGTTTTTTTGTTTTTGATCATCCTGTGCAGTAGATGTAGAAGTGTACCCCTCTTTTCTTGAATAGTAGGTCCTAAATCAATAGCTAGATGATTCTATTATAGTGACTTTGGGGATTGAAGTTGTTCTTAATCAGTTAAAAGATCAATAAGGTGTCAAGTAGAATAAGCATGCTTAAGGTGTCGGAGGCTTTCATCTCTGAGCACAGTTTGTCTTAGTAAAGTCTGGTTATCTTAGTCCTTTACTTGTAAAATAGAATCAGTTTGTCAAGTTATCAACAGCTTTCATCTCTGAGCACAGTTTGTCTTAGTAAAGTCTGGTTATCTTAGTCCTTTACTTGTAAAATAGAATCAGTTTGTCAAGTTATCAACAGCTTTCATCTCTGAGCACAGTTTGTCTTAGTAAAGTCTGGTTATCTTAGTCCTTTACTTGTAAAATAGAATCAGTTTGTCAAGTTATCAACAGCTTTCATCTCTGAGCACAGTTTGTCTTAGTAAAGTCTGGTTATCTTAGTCCTTTACTTGTAAAAAATAGAATCAGTTTGTCAAGTTATCAACAGCTTTCATCTCCGAGCACAGTTTGTCTTAGTAAAGTCTGGTTATCTTAGTCCTTTACTTGTAAAATAGAATCAGTTTGTCAAGTTATCAACAGCTTTCATCTCTGAGCACAGTTTGTCTTAGTAAAGTCTGGTTATCTTAGTCCTTTACTTGTAAAATAGAATCAGTTTGTCAAGTTATCAACAGCTTTCATCTCTGAGCACAGTTTGTCTTAGTAAAGTCTGGTTATCTTAGTCCTTTACTTGTAAAATAGAATCAGTTTGTCAAGTTATCAACAGCTTTCATCTCTGAGCACAGTTTGTCTTAGTAAAGTCTGGTTATCTTAGTCCTTTACTTGTAAAATAGAATCAGTTTGTCAAGTTATCAACAGCTTTCATCTCCGAGCACAGTTTGTCTTAGTAAAGTCTGGTTATCTTAGTCCTTTACTTGTAAAATAGAATCAGTTTGTCAAGTTATCAACAGCTTTCATCTCTGAGCACAGTTTGTCTTAGTAAAGTCTGGTTATCTTAGTCCTTTACTTGTAAAATAGAATCAGTTTGTCAAGTTATCAACAGTTTTCATCTCCGAGCACAGTTTGTCTTAGTAAAGTCTGGTTATCTTAGTCCTTTATTTTATAAAATTAATTACTTTGATTGAAATATGATGATTTTAGTACCCAACTTTGTTAAATCAAATCATTTTGGATGTCTTCATAAGACATTTCTCAGAGCAAGGCTTGTCTCAGAATGAATGTTTGATAAAGTCTGTGGTATTGAAAGCTAATTAGTTTGTCACATTGAAGAGAGTCATTATCTTCTGTTGAAGCATAGAGATTAAAGGTTGTCATGTAGAAGGTGTATGAGATTGAAGGTTGTCATGTAGAAGGTGTGGTGATTGTAGGTTGTCATGTAGAAGGTGTGGAGATTGAAGGTTGTCATGTAGAAGGTGTGGTGATTGTAGGTTGTCATGTAGAAGGTGTATGAGATTGAAGGTTGTCATGTAGAAGGTGTGGTGATTGTAGGTTGTCATGTAGAAGGTGTGGTGATTGTAGGTTGTCATGTAGAAGGTGTGGTGATTGTAGGTTGTCATGTAGAAGGTGTGGTGATTGTAGGTTGTCATGTAGAAGGTGTGGTGA